TAGAAGTTTTTGTTCTTTTAGCGTTTCCATGATTATACTCTCCTGTTTGGCAAATAGACCTTTGAACTCTTCTAGGGTTTGCATGATCTTAAGATAATTGTTGAATATCAGCTAGTTTGTCACGTGATTTGTGTCTAGCCATGGCTGTGTTATGCTTGGTTGTAAAACTCTATACCGATTCACGTGTTTGTTTGTTTACTTGTGATTACCGTAAACTTGCTTACTATATCATACATGTTGTTGTTGTTTGGCTCAGTGATCTGCAAAAATAGCTAAGTTGAAACGCCCACTTTTTCTAGTTTTTGGTTAAAAAAAAAACCTTTTCGACTACTATATACTATCACTAATAGCTTCTTATATGAAGCCTCTCTATATAAGTCTAGCTAAAAGTTCTTGTTCTATCTTTTTGCTTAAGACCTTTTAGCCTGCTACTTATAAGAGTTTGTGTCTAACTTTCAGTTTGGGTTCCGGCGATTTTTGGAGATAAGGATCAGTGGGAAGAGTGATTCTGTTTTGAAAGCAAGATGAATTAATATGTTCACCATTACATATTAAATGATTAAATATTAGAAGAGAAGCTAAGTATCTATTATTGGAAACTAATCTAATCTTTTGAGTAAAATCTCTACGTGCAAAGCAAAAATTAGTTTTCTGTTACATGGTTAAAACTAATGTCTAACAGTTAGCCAAGCAATTGTATTTTATTTTAATTTATCCAAATATTAATGAATGTAAATAAAGTGACAAATGGCTAGATAGTTTTATATACTATTATAAACTAAGTGATTGCTATTAAACTACCATTGCATAAAAATTACTAGAAGATCTTGAACCAAAAATAAATAAATTCTTGAATTTTGTACTTTATCAATATATACAATATAATTATCCTCTTGTCTTTATAGATAATATAGATGAAGTTCTACTGTCATTTAATATGCCATCAAATCATACTATTGATATAACTGGCACAAAAATGGTTAGAATTCATACTACTAATTACAAAAAGTCAAAATTTATTGTAGTGTTTAGTTGTATAGCCAATAGAGTAAAGCTACTACTAGTAATTATTTTTAAGTTGGTAAATATACTATAGCAAGAATTTCTATCTAGAGTTATTATTTAAACAAATCTTGAAGAATATATAAACTCAAATGAGATAATTTGGTAGATAGAAAATGTTTGAAACCAACATATATCTTTGTCTGTTAATTCTCGCTTATTGTTAGTTTTAGATAGTTTTTGGGGTCATATTCAAGATATAGTTAAATGTTGATTTTGTAAAAAAAATACAAATATTGCAGTCATTCTAGGTGGATTAACTAGTAAATTACAACTATTAGATATTTGTATTAACAGATTATTTAAAAATAAGGTATTTACTTATTATTATAAAATTTATTATAAAATTTTAAAATCTTTTGTTATTTTTTTTAGTTGATTAGGATTTAGAATTAGAGTTTTTAATAAAAAATATATATATCAATATAAATTTTAATTTGTTGCTAATCATAATAAGATCATAATAAAATCAGAATAAAATCTGTTAATATTTTTTTATTAAAAATTCTAACTTTAAACTCTAATCAAAAAAATTTTACATATAAATTTCTAATTAATATAAAGCAAAAAATTTTTTTAATTTTAATTTATTTAGTATCGCAAAAGTTACAACAAATAGATAGCAAACGAAATTTAGCAACTAACTTCTACAAGCTGTATTTAGTGCTCTTCATATAGCTTAGTAGCTAATTAGGTAAATATAGTATAGAATCAAGTTGATACTAACCTTATTATATCATTATTCAAATATTGTGATATTTCTATTACACAAGATAAATCACAGAACAAAAAAATCTTTGATTATGATAGAGTGAAAAATCCAAAAAATCAACACAAACATGAAAATTATATATTTGAAAATTCAGAAACGAATAATAGTAGAAGTTATGAAAATTTAGACATAAATAGTGATAGTAAGTATTGTTTATAATTAATAAATATTTTTTTTTTTTTTTTTTTTTTTTTTTTTTTTTAAAAGAGGTCATTTCCTCGTTCCTTTATTTTATGTATAATTAATAAATATTCTTTAAATGTTTTTGATTTAACAAACTTAGAGTCAGTTCATAACAACAAAGATTGTTTAAATTTAAATAACTTTGGTAAGTATATTTGTTTTTAGATAAAATTGTTTATAAACACTTTAATTTAATTAAAGATAAAAATATTTATAATTTGATACAAGATGGTGAAAGTTCATATAATTTAAGTCAAGATAATGAAAATATTTATGAACCAACTCAAGATAGTAATTTAATTCAAGATGCTAGTTTAGCTACGGATAAAAATTATAATAAAGATGAAGAAGTAGATCTGTTTTATGAAAATAAGATAGTCATATATATATGAAAATATTTAGGACTAGAAATAATATAGAAATAGGTTGAAAGGTAGTAAACTTGAAATATAATAAACTAACACAAAACACTATTAGCAATAAATAATTAATAGTGTTTTAATATGCAAATAGAGAAAGTTTTTATGACTTTTTTTTTTTTTTTAATATTAAGGTAACCACTTAGGCCCCCGGTACTTGGCTTTATTTAGATAAATATGATATTACATCAATTTTCACGAGGATACAACTAGCCACACGTGTACTTTTGGTACCTA